AGAATTGGAAGGAGAGGCCTGGATTACAGCAGAGTTAGAACTGGCTCCCTGGTCTTTACCACCACTAAAGATATCAAAATGTCTCAGCGCAGCTCCCAAACAAGATATGGTTAGATGGTGAGGACAGGTTAGGGACTGGGAAGACAAGGGATCTGGGATCTGAGTGAGCCCTTGATGGCCATAGAGAGCTAATTTCAATGGGGGGGGGGGAGCGGGGGGTAAAATGGGGTAGATACTGAGTCCAGGGCTGAAGCAAGTATGTGAAGATGATCAGAATCCTCTCTCATAGGAATGGGAGTGGGTGATGCCATCTCAGGTTCTATCCCTGGGAGTGCTGGACAATCTCAGCAGGTTGCAGGGAAACCTCTGTCACCAGATCAGAGCCTTCATTAAAGGAGGGCACAGTGATGGTGGCAGTGGGATCAGGGGATATTCTGAGGGAGAGAGAAGATTGGGGAGGGGTCTGTGGTTCAATTCTTCCTTTTATCAGGAAAGTCTTCTAAAACCAAGTCACAGAAGCTCTCGGTTCGCTTCATCATTTGCTCAGCATCTGGTGTCCAGTCTCTGCTGGACACCAGAGACCCTGAGATGAGTTAACCAGACCCTTTCCCTGGGGGACAATCAATCACAACTGGCAAACAGGTGCCAGGCCACAATGTCCACAGGGAGCTATCATGGGAGTGGAGCATGAAACACTTTATATCTCAGGTCCAGGGCAGTCCTCCTGGTTAAACACTTTGTTTTCAAGATCATCATTTAATACCTAATGTCCCCAAGAGGGGTAAGATTTTAGTGAGCACAGGGCTAGGAAAGCAGCCTTTGAAGTCAATGTCATCACTAATACAAGGACAGTAGGCTCCTGCTGCCAGGTTAGAAGCACACAGAAGGGCTCATTCCAGAAGCCTTCCAGTGCAGGCCAGACATATCACTTCAGGTCTACTGTACACTGAGCACCTCTAAAGATGAATGCATCACTTGGCCCTTACTAACTGTTCCTCCTGGGTTCCCATCTCAGGCAAAGTGCCACACTACTCGGCTACCCAAGTGAAAACCATAGGGATCATGCAAGACTCCTTCCCCTCCCATCAGCCACAGTCACCATGTCCCTTAGGTCTGGCTCCTTATTACCGCTAGACTCCTCTTGTTCCTTTTCAACTCCACAGCAGCAAGCTGTAATGGTCTCACAGTCTCTAGTTTGGCACCATCCAAATCTATTTTTCTAACAGGCACCAGAGGGGTCTCTCTGCAATGCAAACCTAATTTGTCAATTCCCTGCTTAAAGTCCTCAGTGGCTGCCTATTCCCATGAAAATAAAGTCCAGATTGCTCCCTGTGTCACAACTACCCCTTCTGTCTGCCCCTGGTACCAGCCACACTGAATGACTTCCAGTCTCCTGAGTAAGCCACCCACCCTCTCAGGGCAGGTGCACATGCTGTTTCCTCTGCCTGGAAAGTCCTCCCTGACCTGAGCATCCCTCATGTATCAGCTCAGGTGTTGCCTCCTGGGTTGGGCTCCCACAACCCCTGTGCTTCACTCTATAAATGCATCTAGAATAACTGTCTGTAAATGTCTGTCTCCACCAGGCTGCGAACTCCTCGGCACCCAGCACAGGGCCTGAAGGAATGACAGTTGATGTTGGAGGGTCTCGCTGATTCTCTGCTTGTTGATTCTGTGGGCAGAAGGCAATCTGGACAGGAGGAGTGAGGCTGTGCATTTAGAAACAAGCTCAGAAGTTGTCCTGGCAGTTCAGATAGTTCAGGGTTGAGTGACTATGTGATACTGAAGTTCAGGAGCAGAAATGCACTTAAAGCTGTTAAGGCAGATGCCTCAGGGCACTGCAGTGTTTGCAACTGGGCACAAAGATGTCTGAAGTCAAATGTGAATTTAAATCAGATCCAGGTAATGGTTGTTGAGGGTCTGCTACACACCAGCACTGTGCTAGGTGTTTTTGCATTATTATTATTATTATTGTTGTTTTTTGAGACAGACTCTTGATCTGTCACTCAGGCTGGAGTACAGTGGCACGATGTTGCACTGCAACCTCTGTCTCCCAGGTTTAGGCAATTCTCCTGCCTTAGCCCCCCGAATAGCTGGGATTACAGGCATGTGCCACCACACCTGGCTAATTTTTTTGTGTGTTTTTAGTAAAGACCGGGTTTTGCCATGTTGGTCAGGCTGGTCTTGAACTCCTGACCTCAGGTGATCTGCCTGCCTCGGCTTCCCAAAGTGCTGGGATTATAGGCGTGAGCCACCGCGTGTGGCCTCACATCATTTTTAACTAGAGAGAGTGTATAATTTATCATCCAAATCAGAACAGTTTTGAGAGTGAAAAGAGGACGTTGTTAAAAGATACTCCAGGACAACAGGTGTAAACCAGAACTGCCCCAGGAAAGCCAAGACTTATGACCATTCTACCTAGAAGTCATACTTTGTGCTTTTGTTCTTGGTAGCCCCTGACACATCTTATAAATATATATTTATCAGTATTTACTTGTTTAAAGTCTATTTCCCCACTGTATTGCAAGAGTTGGGGTTTTTCTTTTTCACTACTAGAACCTCAGGGCACATAGAAAACCCATATATAAATAAATATTCGTGTAAAGAAGAAAGGAAAAAGTGGAGTAAAAGATTGAGTGAGGAAAGAGAGAGTGGGGAAGAGAGGAAGGAACCAAGGGAGCTGGGATCCTCTTCTAGGCCAGCTTGACTCCCATATTAGTGCTCCACGCCCTTGCTTGAGGCATAAATGAGTAGCCTTTCAGTAAGAAAATGGCTTATACAACTAACTCAGCGCCCAAGATGTACTTACTAAGATCTAACCAGCTGATGATCAATGTATTCATGACGCAAATCATTTCCTAACATCTCTGTAACTCACTCTGGCTGGATCTGTGTTTTGCAGCATGAACGAGCGAGCGCCCAGTTGTTTGTGAGTAAATCAATAATTAATGACAGCAATGGCATGCTGAAGCCTTTTCCTCTGTAGCAACCCTAACCTACTTCCCTTGTGTTCCTCCCCCAGGCTGCCCCCAAACTCCCATTTCTCTCTTTGGGGATTTATCTAAAATACCACTTTGTTCAATGGTTTCCACTCTGTCCAATGTCATTTTTATGTTTTTTTGGGTTTGTTTTTCACTGTGCCTCACCATCCTACCTGGGAATAATTGTTTTGCATCTATAAGCCATATTGCATTTGGCATAATAGGGTTTTCTGTGTTCAATCCAATTTAACTCAACATGCAGTTATTGAATATCTATTATCAGCCAAATCAGGAAAAAAAATGTAGGAGCTTGTTCTCCTTGAGAAGGAAGTACTGCGATTCTATCAGGGAAACTGCAGTCAACACAGAAGCCTGGGAGAGCAGAATTCTGCAGACTACAGATACCTCCTGAGAAAATCAGAAGCAGCTTCTCTCTGCAAGGAAAGCTGATCAGGATGACATTGAGAGGTCAGGGGCAAGTTCGTGTCTGTAAGAACTAGAAGACAGTGGGGTTTCAAAGCTTAGAGAAAGGCAGCAAACCATAATCATTCTATCTCTGCATATGGATTTGGTGAGCACAGTTCACACCTTCTTTTATAGACAAAGAAGGATGAGCTGGGGAAGGAGGCAAATATCCTAGAGTTATGGTTATGCAAGCCATGACACAAAAGGTATACTGTGAAAGGACCTAGGAAAGCAAAATTCACATAGGAGGACCAAGATACTCAGGACTGACTTTTTCATTAATCCCTGCTCTAATATATGCATTTGTTTTTAAGCACAAATGCTTAATCTGATTAATACCTGTGTTGCTCTTTAATTCAGGAAAGTTTCACTGGGATCCTCAATGAGGGTAAGCAGAATGGGTTACATTGGTGCATCTCTGAAGTACCCCAACTGTGTGACCTTTGTTGTCTTAGCAATCACCATCTCTCACCTGACAGCAGTCATGGGCTATAAAAATCAGTCACTGAAGTTGGAAGGGACTCAAATGGAATTTCACTAGAATGTCTTCCAACAGTTGAGTCTCCTCTGTGCATCCTTTTGGACTAAAAGTTGAACACTTTCAGTGACACATGACTAAAAGTTGAACACTTTTAGTAAAGCAAAGCTCACAGCTCACACACACACACTCCATCCTCAAGCAGCTATAGTCATTAAAAAGTTCTATTTCTCTACCTCTTCCCATATCCCCAACCTGAAAAAAAGGTCTGTCCCACCCATTCTGCGATAGTTCTTTAAGACAGAATACTGTAGTTTGCTTCATTTCTCTAAGCTATGAAACTCTGCTGTCTTCTCCTATTTTTTACAAACAAGAACTTGCCCCAGGGAGCAAACTTGGTGTGGACACCCATTGCTCTATCTGCCTATGTCCCCTTCTTTCTTCTGAAATGGTAGGCCCTCTTTTCTGAAAACAGGTACCAACCCACCCTCCAACTCCAACCATGTGGTTCCAGAGAGGCTGCCTTGTCCTTGCATATTCTTTCTCCTGAGCCAGAACTGACTTGCCCAGAAGTGGACACGTCCTCCCAACTAGGTCAATCACAATCCTTTTGGAACTGGAACTGGAAAATGAGCATAAGTTACTGTAGTGTTGAGAACCTTTGGATGTGACACTCACCAGTCATGTTCCCAATGTGTAGAAGAAGAGAGTTTACAGTCTTCGATTACATGACATGCCCTTGGTATTCTTCTAATACATTCTCTACTTTGCTTATACTAATTCAAGTTGTATTTCTTTAGCTTGTAACCAAAGATCCTTGACAAATATGGATACACTCCAATATATTTCCTTTAACCACCAGGCCTCCACAACTGAATCCACTATTTGTAAGAGGTTGCAGGAAAAGAGATTGGGAGAAGGTCCTTGGGTCTGTTGGACTCAGAGAAGAGCAGGCCTAGTGCCTCCCTGGTTTTAGCTATGTATTCCTAATTTGCAACTTCTAGTGGACTTTCCCAATACAACGCTTCCCTTTCCCAGATCAAGCCATAGATCAGCAGCTGTGGAGGGAATTCAGTTACTTACTGGGTCATTGTACATCTGGACGATGAGTTGTTTCACTCCATGCAGGGTAGGGTGGACCCATGGAGAGGGATCCAGCCAGTGACGATTCAGATCAAACCCCATCAGAGAACACCTAGGCAGTACCCAAAGTAAGAGTCAATATAGACAGGACAAGCTGAGCTTCTCACTTGTCAAAATATGCTTAGGAGTAGGAGCAATGATTATGTCACTTACCTAGCATTTATCATTTTCTAGAGACAGTTCTAAGTACTTTATATGAGTTAATCCATTCAGTGCCATCAACAACCCTGTGAGGTCACTACTATTGCAATTCCCACTTTACAGAGGAAGAAACTGAGTCACAGAGAGATTCCAAAGTATTTCTGTCTTTGTAGCCTCATGTCAGCATCCACAGACACATGACCCATAGACACATATGCACATCTCCACACTGCAGCTGAGAAAAATGCTCAGGCCAAAACTACTGGTGTTCCCATTATGCCTCTTTGCTCACACCTATAGCTAATCCATTGTCTCTACCTTCAAAATACACCATAACCCAACACCTTTTTATCACTTCCTCTGGTATCACCTTAAGTGTGGGCCAAGGCCCAGAGAATCGTAATCATATTTTACCTGGTCTTCTTGTCTTCTTCTTGTCTCCTCCCACCTCACCTCCCATGACAGTGTACAGCAGAAGACTGGAGATTTCCAGAAATTTTAGACTTGGACTTGGATTCAAGTTCTCCAGTTACATAGGGTTATGTTCTTTCCATTCCTTTGCTGAGCCTGAGAGCCAGTTGCATGTGTGGATTTGAGGAGACCAGGGCATAAGCCTTCTCTTTTCAAATGTCTCTTTCCTCAATGCCCCTGGAGGGACTGGGAGAACCCCATTTCTTATCACTATGCTACTTTTGTCTCAGTGAGAACCAGAGGAGAATAATGTGGAAACTTCCAGGAACATCCTTTTGCTCCACATTCAGGTTTTCACTAGCGTCTTGCCTAGCCTCTCTGGCAAGTCCATCCCTCGTGAGTGTGGGATAATGCCCCCAGGGTATGCAGAGGAGATACCACTGAGTTCAGGTCCCCTGCTCTGCTGATGGTGTACTATGTGACCCTGGGCAAGTCCCTTGTTCTCTCAAGGCCTAAATTTCCCCCAGCTACAAGTAGAGAAGGAGCTTCCACAAATGGACCACAAGCTTTTCAAGAACCTCTTTCATCATGGACTGCACTCTTCCTACCCCACATCTTCAGTGGAGAGGAGTGCACAAAGAAATGTTCTGTGTGTTCCAGGATTTCCATAAGAGCAGTGATGCCTAGATATCAACCATTCTCTGTGCTTTAAACAGAGGGGATCACTGATGCTCACCTTCTAGGCCAGCAAGTTACCTCCTGACCTTGAACTTGCAAAGGGGTCCCGTTTTCATTTGCCATTACAACATGAGCATTTTTCTTTGTTAGTAAACTCTTTGTAACTAGCATTGTAATAGTGTTATAATATGACATATTATCCCATTATATGAACCCCCATAATTCATTTAGCCATTTCCCCACTGTGGCACATTTATTTTGTTTTCAATGCTGCACTATTTTCAAAATGCACTGATGAATACTCTAATCCCTAAAGTTTTCTCCACATTTCAGAATTTTTTTCTTAGAACAGTTTCCAGAAGTCGAATTGCTTGGTAAGAGGATTGACTGACTATAAAATCACTATTACAAATGAAAAATGGTCCTCAACATAGAAAGCAAAAAAGAAAAAAAGTAACATCACCTTCCTGTCACTCAAATATAACTCCTGTTAGCCTTTGATGTAGTTCCTGCCATCTTTTCTTTCTGAGCTTATAGTGGTAAGTGCAGCAGTAGTTAACATTTAAGAAGTGCTTACTATGTGACTTTACACGAATTATCTCATTTCATTTTCGCTTTTATCTCATACAAGCCCTGTATTACCATTTTACAGAGGAGAAAACAAAGGCTTAGAAAATGTAAATAACTTTCTCTAAGGTCACTGAGCTACTATGTAATGGAGTTAGAATTTGAGCTCAGGTTAACCTGATTCTCAGAGTCCAAAATCTTACCAATTGCTCTCCTTACTCTGCTCTCCCCGGACTACACCAGATTGTCTTTCAGAAAGGAAACATTCATTGCTGTGACTAGTGCCTTGATCTACAGACATATCCATGCAGTTCTTAAATATTCTTATCTGAAGTATTGCTACTCATGAAAGTGATTAAGGACAGACAGAGAGAGCCTCACAGCCACACTCATCTGAAACCTGCTCAGGGTAATTTGGCCAGCATATGGAGGAGCAGGCTTCAAACCCAGGACTGTCCAGCTTTAATGTCTATGCTCTTCCAGGGAACAAACAGTTTAAGCAAGCTGTCTGCTTTTGAGAATGTATGAGTAAATTAAGGAGGAGAGACTGGTTTAGGGAACAAGGATGAGGCTAGAGTTAAATATAGCAGTTCATCACGGTTTTGTTAAGAACCTTCTACACACCAAGCTCCATGGTAGTGTTGCTGGGATAGAGTGATTGATAAGAGATGTTCTCTAACCTCAAGAAATGTATAATCCAGCAGGAGGAAGAAGATAAGCTTACAGGTTTATATCAATTTATAATGCAGGATAATATTGTATTAAATGAGCTAATGCACAGGTTTTGGTACATAATAGTAACTCAAAAATGCTGTATTGTTGTTTTTATTGTACTGTATTATTATTTTATGCTATGTCCTATGTGAATGGCATGGACTAATAGTTTCACAGTCCATAGGATGCTGGAATGGGCAGCAGTGGTCAGGGATGACCTCTTCTCTTCCTTGAGTCTGGAATTAGGCAGATCTGAGTTCAAGTCCATGTTCTGTTCCCTCCCAAGTGTAGGAGGCATTTGTCCATGTTCTTTGGGGGAATGCTCAGCATCTAACACTGTTACTAGATGGGGGGTTGGGTGGGGTGAGTTTGCTCCTCATCATTACAAGATGAGGCCGTGATTGTGCCCTATCTCCCTGCATGGAAGCCAGCCAGATTCTACCTCTTTGTTCCCCGGCAGCCATGGTAGCAATAGGAAATCCGGGCTCAGGCACCAGCCACTCCTGCCCAGGACGTAAACTTGGGACTGGGTGATGTGAGGCAGCAGGGAGTGCTGTGCAGCAGTGCTACTGTGGAAGAGAGGCAGAGTATTCTGACTCTTCAGAGCTGCTCAGTTAATTGCTCTGGTTTTCAAGTCTGGCTACCAGTTTTTACGTGATTCTGTAAGCCCCTTCGTATAAATTCCCTTTTTGCTTAAGTGGCTAGAGTCAGTCCTTGTTAACTTTAGCTGAAGGCATCCCTAATCAGATGGCCCTATGAAATAATTCATAGAAAATTCTGGCAGGCCCCTATATTGTCCACTTCCCAATGGCTGCTCAACAAACAGAGGGAATCATTGGTCTGGCTGCTGTGCTCACAGAGCTTTTCCAGCCCTCACTGAGCATCTAAATATTTAGAAAGGTATATTACCCTTGCCAACAGGACGTAATCATAAAACAACTGTATCCTTAGACGTGCTTACTTATGTGCCTCTCCTCTGCCCCCAAATAGGAATGTCCTCAGCACTGTCTTGGGCAGGTCACCAGCTTGCTCTAGGACACCTCTATGACCTAAAACTCACTACCTTTCCAGTTAGCTTATCTCATTCTTGAATCTTCCATTAGAAAATTCTTTTTTCCTTTTTAGCTGAATGTGTCTCCCAGTCACTTCCTCCATCCTTCTCAGTCTTGCCCCATGGAGTTGCACAGAACAACAGGGTTATACTGTGGGGACCAGCGGCTTTGGGACTTACAGTTATGTTTAAGTTCTGGCTGTGTTCCTTACCAGCTGTATGATCTTTTTTAAATTTCTTTTTTTGAAATGCACCTCTAGGCTTCTGTTTTATCATAGGTATAAAGAGGAAAACCACTCTGACTTTCTGGATTGCATACATGAACATACATGTCTGTAAGTGGACCAGCAGAATTATCAGAAAAACATAAACATTGAACAAATGATAGCCAGTGATGACAGTGAAGAGGTGATAATGGTAGCACTGCTGCAATTGTCTAAACTTAAATATCAGCTCCTCCAGGAAGTAGAGGAGGACGTTCACTCCCTGCACATGAGGGGTAGGTGCTTTTCCTCTGCTCCCATAGCATCTGTTGCTCCCCCAGCAAAGTGGCTACAGCACAAGATGTGGCAATTATTGAGTCTGCTTCTCCATTGGACCATGAATTCCTCAAGAGCTAGGACGCTATCTTATTCATGTTGGTATTCCTGTGCCTGACAAAGAGCCTGGATCATGGCAGATGTCAAAGAAGTAGTTGTTGAACAAACATTTCATTCTTCCTAAGCATTTTCCTGTCTCATACGATATAGTTCTCACAACCATTCAGTCACATGATAAACCTCAATTTTCTATTGGGAGTGTTGAGGGCCAGAAAAGGTAAGCCATTCTTTTGAGGCTACATAACATGTACTCTAAAGGGCCCAGACTGGAACTCAGGTGTCCTATCCCTGGACCTCATAATCTCCCCACTTGGCTATGCTGCTTCCAAGAAACCTCTTTGATTCAAAAAAGAACTTCAAAACTGAAGGAAAAGTGTTAGAGGTCAGAGATCCTGAAAGGTTAACTCCTAGATCCAGCCTGCCAATAAAAATAGAATGTAACTGGTGATTCAAAGGCATCTCCAATCCTCAGGGAATCTAGAGCTTTTTAGAAGCTAAAGCATTTGTGATATTCTTCAGTGAGTAGTACCTGCATGGGCACCTTTTGAGCTGATTTTAAACGAATGCTTCTAATGACACTCAATCTATCCATAGGTTAAGTATTTACTGAACAAAACATCCTAGTAAAGATGCAGGATCCCTGGTTAGGAGCCTGGGGTACAGGTTCCACCTCCAATGTCTATGTCATCTTGGAAAAGTCACCTCCCCTCCCTAGGCTCTATGCACTTATTTGTAAAATGAAATGCTATACTTTACTCACAGAGATCTCTTTCAGCTCTCTCAGTATATGATTCTAAAGCATCAATAACTGGGCTTTTTACTCCCAGAGTAAGGGACTTTGGAGGAAGCATATATTTCCAATTAAGTTAAAATTCAAAGAAAACAAAATAT